GGGGGGGGGGGTAAAGAGAGGGCCTAGGGAGGGACTCGACGAAAACATTGGTGTTCTGTGGCTTAAACACAGCTGCCTATTCACTCACCAACAAACATAAAGTCAAGGTGGCTAGAGAAGGAAATTAAATTAGGGGTGTTAGAGTTTGCAGTGCAGTGATGGAGGACTGACATCTATCGAAAAGGGCATTAACAAACAAATTACCGGATTACCCGTATGGATTCGCTATTTTACCAACACTTCAGAAGCCCTTGAATTATTAAAAGTGCATTCCACCCACAGCTTGGCAATGACATTCTCAGACTGCATCACACATTTGGTAATCATGGTTTCATGGTTGTTTAGTGGTATCAAGAGGCGATAACTCCCATTGGGATACCACGTATCAAGGTCGAGCATTCCTTAGTTTTATGGTAGTCCTACTCCTCTTAAAGCTAAATATTTTTGTATTTTTATAGTTTTGTGATTTTTTATTTAGCATATCCTAGTAACTTATTGCCTTGTCCCGTAAGTCAACATTGCCCCCTTCTTGCTTGTCCATAAAAGCACCCTAGTTTCTTTTTTAAAGTAGTCACTGAAGGGGCAGCCACTACGTCGTCGTCTAACACATTCCACGCATTTACCATTCTACAAGTAAAAAAGTCCTGTCTTAATCTGAGCCGCACCTGCGGTTTACGCAACTTGAGTTGATTACCTCTCGTTCTCTGGCTGCCATCAAACTGGAAAAACCTACCACACTCCATAATAATAAGTAATGTCCTTCTCAAGGGTATATATGTATTTATTTATCTATTTATCTAGAGAGAGTGAGTGCATGTGGGTTTACTGGGAGAAAGACATGTAAAGTTAGTCGTTCACGACCTCGTAACTGAAGGAAACAGGTGCGAGATTCAACTGTGTGACACGCAGGCCTCCCCCTCTACCGCAGGCCCGCATTCCAGTACGGGATGGCATTGCGCATGCGCAAGTTAGCAGACGAAAGTAAAGAGCGCATGCGCAAATTGAAAGCAGACGAAAGGCAAGAGGAGCGCATGCTAGTAGACGCTTGTGCTGACGTCACATGACACATGATGGCCGCACTAGGTTGCCCCAGTGCCAGATGCGCAGCGAATTTGCAACGTTCCTTGTGCAAAAATACGCGCATGCGCCGTTAGGCAAAATTTGGTGAAAGTTTATCCATATTAACATATACATGGATCTTATATTCCCTTTGCCCGAGGAGTGTGAGTACCAATTGTAAAGTTAAGCCGAAAGGGAGGCAGTAGTATAAGGAGCAAGGAAAATCAGCCACTAACCCAGGACTAGGCCATGATACGGCCAACAGACCTTCAGGCCTGTCACAAATTTAGCGTTAGACTCATTTATGAAGTATGACGTACGCATTGCACTGTCATGAGAAACACGTGGGCCTATTCTGATACCTACTCAAAGAGCAGAGGAAGATCGGACACTTCCGTGAAAAGCCTGTCAAAGAGCTTTCTGGCACGAACCAGTTCGTATGATCGGCTCATTCACTAACGTTAGGTCGGACCAGTACCTCGCGAACACGCGGGAATGCAACCCACGTGGTGAGCTACTCAAAGCCGTCTCATTGTGACGTCATCGTAGCCGATGTGGCATCGTCTGCTCCGGCCGGCAGTAACGAGACTCGCGTGCATCCGCGATGCCGCCTGAGAAGTTTCCATCCTAGCGCGCCCAGCCGAAGTCATCTTCTCCCGAACCGCCTTTTCTTCTGGAAACTTCGAGTTCCCCGGAATCCCATTCAGCAGCTCGAACGAATCTTTCATTTTCCTGCATTCTGCGTCATGAGTGCACTCCATACAGGGTTCTCTGCGGGGTCCTCCTCTCAGTGAAATTAACTATAATGCATGAGCGGGCTCACTTCTTTCGACGTTCCTGTCAAGGATATCATGTTTACAAAGGACTTAATGCAATTTAAATTATCGTTCCAACGATGTTCATTGCTTGTTGGAAGAATCCTTAAGGAGGAAGTTATTTAAACATTTTTCGGCTACTTGGGAACATTAAATTCGCGTTCTTAATGAGCGTTCAGAGAAAGCACAATTTAAACAGCTTTTGAACGCTTTAAATTTCGGACATTTAAATAGTCAACAGAACGTTCCCAAAGACGTTTATTCGTTCGCAGAGCCTTAAACGGAACGTTAATAGAAAACTCATAGGTCGTTCCGTCGCTTCTTAACTGAACTTAGTTATAACCTGATCACGCACCTGAAAATGTATTACGTCTCATCCTTCCGGCGATTATTCGCGTATCCAGTCACTTTTCCTTTACGCCGAATTTGCCATATATGAATGCTATATACAGGGTGGCCCAAAAAAATCGCACCGATTTTGATCGGCAATAACTTTTGAACTAATGAACGAGGCTGGTCTGGTCTGTAAGCATGCAACGGAAAATCGCCGTAGGATTCCAAATACAGAGAGGGTTAACAAGAAGCCAGCCTTGTTCAGCCACTTTTTTTGAGTGCTTGCACTTAAATTCCGATTGCTCCGGTTCTGTTAAAGGACATTTGATAAATTATGTGGTGATGGAAAGAGGATTAATAGACCTTTCAATTCCAGTTTCGAGCACGAAGAAAGGTTCATTAGTTCAAAAGGTATTCCAGATCAAAATTGGTGCGGTATTTTTTTGGCCCACCCTGTATATATTCTTATTTAGCCTGAAGAGGGGGACGCATCCAGGCGCATGCGGTTTTCGATCTCTTTCCACTTGCGAATAGGGATTTCCACTTAACGGATGGGGAAGCACTCCAGCAGATCCATCGCGAGATTCTTTTGAGAACGGAATCAGAGGTCGGAATGACTTCCATTTCTTTCGTTTCGGCTCGGCAAGATTTTATTCGTAAAGGGAGGGGGAATGCTCCGCGCTTCGTCGCAGGAATCACTGCGAAGGGCGAGTTTATGCAACAGAGGCGAGATGAAGATACAAAGTAATTTTTTTCCAGAGAACCCCCCCCCCCCCCCCCCCCCCCCCC